GCTGAATTGAATATTGATGAATTGAAAAAAAATGTTGAGATTCGATACATTGTAGAAGGTAATTAATCTCTGATGATAATTACGAATGATATGAGAGTGAAGTTGTACGTAGAAATAAAGAAGTAGGAGGTTGGATTCAGTATGTATCCACTATGCGTTGATACGTCTGATAAAAGTGATGAAGAGATACAAAGCTTTGATGCAAGCAGTGGTGCATTGTGTGTTGGAGGTATAAAAAAGGACTCAAATGCTCTAAGCATTGTTGAATCGAAAATTGGTGATTCCTATTACATACCAGAGATGGAGATAGCAAATTATATATTAGATACAAATATCTTAGAGATGAAGATGAAACAATTGTACAAGGATAAAGCAATTTTTGTGGTTGTAATGGCAAAATACAAAATAAAGCATAACTTCAATTTTAGAGTTAAACGGTCTGATAAGAAAAGGTATTTGAACAAATAATCTCATGATACACAGATTTGATATATTTCTTTCATTTTTGTAATTTGTTGGTACAAAAATATTGTTCATGATACATTGTTGTTTACAAACTTTATAGACAATCTTGTTGCATCATGTAGGATTAGTGTTGAATTGTAATTGCTGGTTTTATATATTTGTGTATCAGTGCAGAATAATTACAAAGTATCGTGTATCATTGGAGAGGTATGGGTAATTGTGATACATCTGTGTGTTTTTGTATCATTTTGTTGATTTGTAAGTGAAAGCTATAAAATCCTGTGGACACTGCCTACTGCTCTGATTACTGTAAACCTGATGCATTAGCAAACACATATGTAGTTTCAATGGAATCAATGCCGGACAAATATGATTGGACAATTTCGAAAAGTGTTTTGGAAGAAGTTTTCTTGCCACCAAGATATAAAAGACTGTCTGGTAGACCAAGGAAAAAAAGGAAGAAAAATCCAGATGAAAAGCTAACCGCAAACATGAATTGTTGTGGATGTTGTGGACAAGAAGGTCACAATAGAAGAGCATATACTTTCTTCCTGAAAGATTCGTGATGATTATTTTTTTTTTGGAGTACTTTGATATTTCATGTATAATAATTCTCAAAGTGTAGCATTTCTTTCCACGGTTACAAACTATACTTAAATTTGTGAAACTTTTGCATCGAATAGTCAATTAGTATCAAGTGCTGAGATTTGTACCCAAAGGTATAAGAGGCAACATGTAATATTTACTAAATATATTGAAAGTATATCGAATTGTATCAAGTCTAACAATATAGTATGTTTTGTGATACTTAATATATTAATTTTGTATATATATATATATATATATATTGCGTATTTGATGCTTAAATTTGTGAAACTTTTGCATCAGATAGTCAATTAGTATCAAGTACTGAGATTTGTACCCAAAGGAATAGGAGACAACATGTAAAATTTACTAAATATATTGAAATTATATGGAATTGTATCAAGTTTAACAATATAGTATCATGTGGTGTGATACTTAATAAAATTGTGATTTTCTTATCATGATACAACATTATTGTGTGTAATATATATAAATTTCTTTTTGATAATTCATATCATTTAAGAATATAGTATCAAGTGTTGTGATTTGTACCAATGTTGTAAGAGTCAACATGTAAAAAGATATTTAATTTTTTCAAAATTAACTGGCGTGTACCAAGTATAAAATATATAGTATGAAGATTTGTGATACAAACAAGTTTGTTATTTTGTATGCAATTATGTATCATGTACATAATAATTGTTTTGTAAATTTGTAGTGATGTGTACCATACTTATCGGATACAATTTTTTTTGAAGTACTACCTATATTGAACACAAAATTAAAAGCGAAAATAAACAATTTTAAACATAAGAACTCTTCAAATTTAGAAGTATTATGTTAAAAGGGTAATAAATACTCCAAAACACTAATTAATGTATCTTAAAAAACAAATAAACATCAACACCTGTCTGTGAGCAGGAACATGGAAAACTAGTCTACATTAACAAGTTAATTTTCTGCAACTGGATTTAAGTCACACTTCAGCCTTAGAGGGTCATCATTATCGCTAACATATCCCGCCTTAGCCTTGTCGAGACCATACTTCCATAACAATGTTGCATATCTTTTGCGAAGATATTCACCTCGAAAACCAATATATGGGATGTTGATTTCGTCGTTCAAGAATTCAGCAAATACAACTATGAACACTCACTACAAAAAATAAAAAGATTAATTATAAAAATGAATTAGATACAAAAATTAAAGAAAGAGTGATACAATATTGGCAGGCTATCACATTTGGGATCTGACCTTGGTAGTTGCATTTGAGAATATTCAGATATGGATCAAATATAGTATCCTTGAATAATTGGATACCTTCATCCCCTATTGACAACACTAAATCTTGAATGAAATTTATATTGTGAGTAGGGCAAAACTTAAGGGAGTGTTTTGGAATCTGTTTAATTACATAATTCAAATTCTGCAATTCAAAAAAATGATGATCAATAAAAAAGGATCCAGATGATACATACAAACCTGAATGAGAATGATTTTGAACTAAAATATGAATAAAAATATAAACTTGTATCTGATACATAATTCTAACTACACATTATCTTTCACTCAAATTGATACATAATAGTAACAAAAACTTTGAAGATGATATATTCTGTTGTTCTGCAACTTACATGTAATCCTCTAATTTGAGCTTTAATCTTTCATAAACTTATCATAACAAAAAAATGACCAAAAATTGGGGTTTTATTTGTAAAAATGATTAATTGATACATGCATTAATCATAAATATCAACCATTTTATCTCATTATTTGAATTTTAAATTTTGATACATTAGTCGTTATAAATCAACAATATGTACCAAATATTAGGATTTTTGTGTTAGAAAATTAGATTTCAACCAATATACATAATAATTTTTTAACAATAATGTATCTACTATAAAGCAAATAAGAACATGTGAATACAGAATATTAACAATAAAGATAAAAAATATTAAAATACATACAGTGGGTAGTGTATGTCGAGATATGGCTGGGGCAACCTTTCTATCCCTTTTCTTTGGTGTTTTTGCCACTTTTGCTTCCGATGATGCATGTACCTCCTTTTTAGCTTTCTCCTTCTTTGAACTTTGCTTAGCCATTGTTAGAGGATCATGCAACCTCTTAGACCTGTTTTATGTCCAGTTGGGATCTTCATAATCAAAGATTCGATTAGTGTTGGGTGTGACTATTTGGGTAATCCCAATACTAAAAGAAGGAGGATACATAAAGTATTAGAAAATTGAAGACAAAAACTAAGAAGAAATTTGAAGAGGAAGAGACTACCTATTACAAACTCTGAAATTGGTTGAATGGAGAGAGAAATCATCTGAAATTCGAAATTGGAAGAATGTGATAATTGAAATGAATCTGGGGAGTAAATTTAGGAGTGGGAAACGTTGGTTGGGTGTTCTTGAACAATAATAAATCTGTGGAGAAATTAGAGGAGTAAATTTAGGGGTGGGAAGCGTAGGTTGGGACTTCTTCAAGAATAATGTATTCGGATGTTTTGTTTTGTGGGAGAAATAGGGATTTTTGTATTTTTTTGAAATAGTCGGGAAATATAGAGAATATGTTAACTAAGTGTATGTATTCTAGTAATTTATCCTTTTTAATATAGAGAAATTTTCGCAAATAGCCAAAACTTAATTATGCCCCATAACTATAGTTTGTATATTTACGGGCTGTGACTACAATTTAAATTGCCTCGTTTGTATAATTTGCGGGTTGTATAATTTGCTGGTGAGTTTGTATAATTCGCGGGTACGTTTGTATAATTGAGTTATTTTTGTATAAACTCGAAATAACGAATTTATACAAACACAAACATATGAACTTTAAACAATTATACAAATTATATTATACAAAATTACATTACACAAAAGTTATACAAGTATATTATACAAACGTGCGAATTATACAAACTCGAAACCCAGCCCATGTAATTATCACTGAATGTTGGTCGCGAGTGGTAATTAATTAAAACTATAGCTATACTGACTAATTAACTAGAATATGTTTGCTTCACCATGTAATTTCCCCTTTAATAAATGAGGACATTTCATAAATAAGAAAGAGATTAAACTTAATAAGCCTCCTTATACAATTTGTCTAATTAAGCTTCATAACTATAGTTTCGTTTGCTACAGATATTTCTATTTGTACATTTTGCTTGCCAAATATACAAATATGGTAAATATTTACATAAATTCAGTAATTATACATTTAGGAATTTTTCAAAACTTATACAAATACAATGTATCAACAAATCATATACAAACATGATAATTATATACATATTCTGAATTTACACAGTTATGAAGTTTTCATAACTTATACAAATCAAATGTATCAACAAATCGTATACAAATAGAATCAAAATATACAGATTCTGAATTTATACAATTAAGAACCGAATTATATAAATTATGAATGTGACTCACATAAATGTGATTATATGTTAGTGGTGAAAAATGATTTCTTCAAACTTGTCGGAGGTTGGATAATTTTTGAACGAAACACATTTGTTACATCGAAGTCATAACTTAAGGTATAGTGCGTATGTCTTTTCATTAATTCGTTGTTGCCTCTAATATACTAATGGAAAAGGGTCATATTTACCCTTATACTTTGAAAAGGATTATATTTATCCTTAGTTGTACTTTCTGATTATATTTGTCCTTATTATTCAATTTTGGATTCATATTTACCCTTTCAGTTGTTAAGTTTCCATCACCTCCTTTTATTATCTTACTTGGTTCCTACGTGACACCTACATGGATAGAATATTCTCTAATTTAATTATTATATCTCACCCCAATATTATTATTATTATTAAGGCAAATATGACCCTTTTCCGATATTATTAATTCTAGTATGTTTATTTTGTGACTAGATGAAAGACTTGATTAACATCTGAAGTAAAACTAGTAACTCTTCATATATGTTTGCTCAAAAATGTATTTAAATTATAAATTACATCAAAGTTGAGACATTGCGATGAATTTCCTTCTAATCATGGCGTGTTTCATATTCCTAAGCTTCACTTCTTCAATTTCTTGTCAAATCCTGAAAAGAAAAAATACAAGATACTATAAGAAAAAAAGAAGATGATGAAATAGAAACGTAATGTTATAAATTTACTTCTTTCATCTTATTTTATATGAGTTGGTTTGACTTGACACATAGTTTAAGAAAGAAAGAAAGACATTTGAAACTTGTGATCTTAATTAAGTGATGCATGCTTGTGTGACTATAAATCATTTCATTAAGGATAAAATATGCATTTTAAAGTTAAATTATTACCACATAATATAAAAATGCATTTTTTTTTTGTAGTGACTAAAAATGAAAGTGAGTCACATATATTAAAAACGAAGAAGACGAAAAAAAGAAAGGAAAAAGGATATGAAAGGAAAATGAATTACTGGACATATTCGATGTTGATCTTAGCATTATGAGAAATTGATATTTGAGCAAAAGCATCAGTTGACAAAGCAATAGTTGAAGGACATGGCCTTTTGGTGCAATAGTCAACAACTCTCACGTCAATTGTTCCTTCTTTGCATGGCCTATTGTTTCCACTCAAACATCTCAGCCTGTAACGCCGCCCGCACGCCGCCCCGTTATCCCACAGCCCTTCGCTCACTGCCACAAATAGATTCCCCGAAGGGAACTGATCTGACCTGTTCCCGCCACATTTGGTAGCTGCATACCATTCAAATATATATATATATATATGGAACAAAGATGAAATGAGAATTATCTTTTTATTGTTTTTCAAATTCTTAAAAAATTGAAATTGAATTTCGAAATGTTATGATCAAACGTCTCTATAACGTATATAAATTTTCAAATACAAGTTAGAGAGGAAATTAAAAAAATACTTACGTGTATAAGGGGAATTATAAGAAGTAGCTGTGCCAATATCTCCCAAGACTAAGCTAATGTAAAATAAACTTATTAGGACGATAAAGCATATGAATAATCGACCCATGTTCATATATTTGGTTGTGTGTACGTAGGTGCAAAGACAACGTATATTGAAAGTGTTTAATGTGTCTTGTTTGGTATTACCACCAACTATTTATAGTTGTCAAAAGTTTATTACGTACTAGATCTCTTCACATATTTTAAACTGATTCAGTGAATATTGTTTTTTTTTTTTTAAAGTATTTAATTATAAGTAAACCCTATCACGTTAGCATTTGGTCTCTCTTTTGGAGTAGTGACTCAGTCAAAGCGGGGATAAGGTTCGAATGAATTCAATATATATATATATATATAAGAACTGATTGACAACTCAGTGGTAAGGAAGGGATAGTATAAATGCTTTCCACGCTAGACGCTACTTCCATAATTAGGAGTAATAATATACTTTTAGATGAGTACAACAGGAGAGTCAATAAGAAGGCGTTTTAGTGATGTCGTCTCATTTACAATTAGTGATACTCTATAACAACACATGTTAACTGTAGCAACACGGACACTTTATATGTGTCACTTTCTTTGTTTCATATTCTAGTACCGCCACAAATGAGGCACTAAATTAAAATTTTGACTTTTTTTTTGGTAAAATTTGGCCTTAACCAATATGTATGGACTCAATATATTCTCTTTAGTTTAACATGTTAATAAACTTGTTAATTTCATTTATATTACAATAAAATATACTAATATCATCAAAGTTTAAAATTTTGGTACAGTTTGTGACTTTAGGTGGAAATCTGATGTAGGTTGTTATGTGTATTATCAAATTAGCATGGTGGAGAATCTAATTATCCTCTTTCATAGTGTTAGTGACCACGCTTGAGATCTTACTTTCTAACTATTGGGTAATGTTTATCACTTCAAAACAGAAAGTGGTTGAATTAAAAATTCATACTAAACGTGAAGCACAATCTTTGATGATCGATATTGATATATTGTACACGGTTATCTACTAGCATAATTAAGAAAAAATATTTTAAAATGCACTAAAGAAAGTAATGAAATCCATATCTTATCTGATTGACTGCATGCTGTCATTAACAAGCACTTCTAAATTCTAATTTCTCAAAAGTTTTGTCCCAAATGGGCTTATATCAACTAGACAATTAGTAAAGTGGTTCAAAGAAAACTACATATACATGAGTATTTGGGGAAGATAAGGATATAGATAATCATGCATTTTGAAAAGGTCCAAGTGAATTACTAGTATAAAACACTAATAAATTTAAAAGAAAAAAGGAGAAGTAACTCGGAGAAAACTTATTTGCATATGACAATATTTGCACACCATGAAAGTTTGAGAGATGTTGGTGGACACATGAGGGTGAGGGTGTTCATTTTCGAGAACCAGTTTGATTTCATGTTCGAAACTTGCATATGGTGTTTATTAATCTTGAAAAAGGCTTACAATAAAGCCCCGAGAAAAGTCCTTCGGCAATATTTGGAGCCCAAAGGTATCAATGACTTACATTAGGACGATAAAAGACATGTACGAGGGAGCAGAGATCCAACTGAGAATAGTGAGAGGAGATTCAAAATACTTTCCAGTTGAGATGGGGTTGCACCAGGGATCTTAATCGATTTCTATTCGCCTTGCTGATGGATAAATTGATGTGACATAATGCGGTGTCATTGGTATGTTATTCGCGCAGACAATATTGTTTTGATCAAAGAGGCTCACGAGAAAGTTAACAATAGGCTGGAGGTGTGGAGATAACCTCAGGAGTCCAAATAATTAAGATTGACTAGGCTCAAGACTGAATATTTCAAGTATAGACTTAGTGATGCATGAGGCAGGCGTGTAACTGAGTCTTGACATTCAAATTGTCCCCACTTTATTCCATTCAGAGTGGATTATAACAACCAATAGTTGGCTAAGATTTATGTCAAGGAGATAGTAAGGTTTCACGGTGTGCTCCTTTCTATCATTTCAGACTGTGACACTCAATTTACTTCTAAGTTTTGAGGTAAGTTACATGAACCGATGGACACTCAATTCACTTTTAGCACAACCTTTCATCCTCAGAGGACATGTTGAGAGCATGTGTTATTGACTTTGTAGGTCATTGAGATCAAATTTTTGCCTTTGTGTGAGTTCTCCTATAACAACATAGTTATCAATTTAGTATATATATGACACCATTTGAGGAACTTTATGAAAGGTGATGTTTATTGCCCATAGGGTGGTTTGAGATTGGATATGTAAAACTTTTGGGTGTTAATCTGGTGATGAAAGCAAAAGAGAAGGTAAGAAGAATCGAAACCATGATGTTGACAACCCAAAGCAGACAAAATGAGTATGTAGACCTTTTAAGGTAAGAGATATGACATTTCAAGCTAGTGAACAAGTTTTATTGAAATTGTCACCAATAAAAGGGGTGATGATGTATGGAAAGAAAGACAAGCTTAGCCTTTGTTACATTGATCCGTTTGAGATTCTTAACATCATAGGGCTAGTGACTTACATGTTAGCATTTTAACCTAACTTGTCTGGAGTTGAAGCATGAAGATGAGCTGATTGCAATTTTTTATCAAGATGTCCGGAAGTTGAGGACAAAAGAGATCAAATCAGTAAAGGTTCAATGAAAGCATCTTTCGATTGAGTTAGCTACTTGAAAAATCGAGAGGGACATGTGGGACAAGTATCCTCACTTGTTTGAGGATTTAGGTACTACATTCCTTTTGATTTAGTCCAACCTTTTATTGTTTGATCGCTCGGGAACGAGTGATGGATAAATTGATATCTATTATAACGACTCTTTCTGATCGTTATGGTTAGATTAATGGTGAAAGAATTGAGTAAGAATTATTTTTGAAAAGTAACTTAAATTTTTTAGGTTAGATCAGTTTCGGAAAATATATGAGCAAGGTGAATTATAGAGAAATCAAGAAAATGATTGGTAAAATGTCTAAGATTGAGTTAGTTTCTCTATTAGCTACGACATTAAGGAGTCTATAGGAATTTTCAAGAGTTAATTCGGGTGAGTAGAACTCCCGATGTCAGATTTGATGTGAAAGAGTTAGTTTGAAACGTCAAGGTTCGAAGGTGCATGGTGAACAGGCTTGGTAAAAGATTTTCGAATTTTTTTCTCTGTGCAAGCCGCTATAGCAAGTGAGATTCCGCTATAGAGGATTGGTGGTCTCTATAGCAGGTCAGTCGCAAATTAATGACGAAAAAGTCTCAAAACCCCTCATTATTCTACAACTTTTTTTTTGGGAAAAGAAAGAGGAACTTAGGGCTTTCCTCAGTTTCCCACCAATTTCTTTGGTAAAAGTAGTTAATTATTCCCCTAACTTGTAATTTAATTCTTAAGCCTTACACTATGGTGGTTCTCTTAAGGGAGGATTTTTACTTGAATTAATAATCGAAAACTCTAATTTGGATATGATGATCATGAAAATGGCATGAGGATTAGGATTGGAGTATAATTAAGGTATTTTAAGTCATTGTTCATTGATTATTTTTGTTTTGTTATTATTCTAGATCAAGAATAAGTCAAGACATTACAAAAGGGGAAAGCTCAATAAATTTTTTAAAATTTTCAAGGCTTGATTCGAGGTAGGTGATGGTTATTTGTTTTTTAAGTTATGTAATGTGTGCATGTTAACCGTTTTATTGTATTACTTGGGTAATGCATCTGAAAAAAACATAAGGGACGAATGTGACATGATATTATGTTGATAATCTCATGCAATGAACATGTTTAACCTGCTTGTGGCTTTAAGTGCAATTTTTCATTGTGATTGATTGTGCATGTTGTTTGTGATTATTGATTGACTAAGATACTACGTCGATACATAATACTAGTGGTTGGTTCAGGTATCACGTCTCATACAAATTATCATTCGGTTGGCTCGGATATCAAGCTAATACATTAACAATTTATGTGTGTGGGTTCCATGAGAAAATAAAATACTCCCTCCGTTTCAAAAAGAGTGGTCTAGTTTGACTTGACACGAAGTTTAAGAAAGTAAAGAAGACTTTTGAATCTTGTGATCCTAAATTAAAGTTATGTCAAATGTACAAAATTGTCCTTTAATCTTGTGATCTTAAACATGCCACGTGGAAAGCTATAAGTAAAATGTTACCAAAAAAGGAAAGAGGTCATTCTTTTTAAAACAAACTAAAAAGGAAAGGATATCATTCTTTTTTAAACGGAAGGAATATGTGTTATTGTGATAACGTGAGACATTTTCATGTTAAAGGTTAAGTCAAGATATTGGTGATTCAGTCTGTTGCATTGCTGACATGGTTTATGAGTTGCTTATTCATGTGTTGTCTAGTATTACTGTCAGGTACTTGTTTATATTCATATTTTTGGAGCTGACCAATGATTTTACCAGTACATTTTTGGAGCTGACCAATGATTTTTAGTCCATCTGTTTGGACTTTGACATTCTTAGATTTTAATTACTTTATGTTTTTGGGGTTGCATTCCCTATTCTTGATTATTTTACAGTTTGGTACTTCGACTTTCAGATTTTAGAGGGGTTAATTTTCGCATAGTGTTTGATCACAAATTTTGTTTATGAATACTGAATCTGCTATTGGTATAAATTGTTAGTTCAGACTGTTATATCTTTTGGGTTGAATTAGTAGATCGTTCTACCATCAGGTGGTTTAGTATGAGTGCCACTTACGGCGGTCTTGATCGTTAAATCTATAAATTAGTTGATATTCTTGAGGATACATAAATTAGTGAATGAGTAATTCTTAGAAAAAGTTTAATATCCTCTTCCAACTAATTGCTTATTTTGTATTATTTATATTTTGTCGATTCGTCTATCCCTAATTAATTAGAGAAAACTTGTTTAATCTTGAAGAAACATTTCATGCTGCTGAAATAGTTTTTTGGACAATGCCTAGCACGACTTAAGATCAAAAGAAATTTCGGTACATTAATCTACATATATTTAATTTCTAACCATAAGATTTAAAAGTATTTTTTACTTTCTTAAATTCTATATCGAGTCAAACTCAGACAAATAAATAAAAACGAAGATAATTGAATTGTTAAATAAATGCTCTGTTTTGACTCATATTATT